GGAGGACTGCTTGAGCACAGGAGTTTAAGACCAGCCTGGGCAACAGAAACAGAATAGGGGAGGCCTGTGAAGGGTCAGATGGAAGCCAAAGAAAAGGAGGATGCTAGGGAAATTTCAGATTCTAGGGCTCCCAACCAGTGGACTCAGCCTTAGATAGAACTTTCCAGTGGCATTTGTCTATAGAAGGTCCTGACCATACAGGACTTCAAGACTAGCCTGGCCAACATAATGAAACCCCATCTCTACTAAAAATAAATAAATTTTAAAAATTAGCCGGGCATGGTGCCGCACGCCTGTAATCCCAGCTACTCTGGAAGCCGAGGCAGGAGAATCGCTTGAACCTGGAAGGAGGAGGCTGCAGTGAGCCAAGATCATGCCACTGCACTCCAGCCCGCACCACAGAGCAAGACCTGTCTCAAAAAAAAAAAAAAAAAAAAAAGAAGTCCCTGACCATAGATTTGATGAAATGTAACCTTTTTTCTTCAGGCAGCCACAAGATCGCTCCTTTCTAGGAGGCTCTCCTAAGTATCTTCATCAGAGTATTTTTATCTTGTGGTTTTTGTTTTGTTTTCTGTTTTTTTTTTTTTATTTTGTTTTTGAGACAGAGTCTCGCTCTGTCACCCAGGCTGGAGTACAGTGGCGCAATCTCAGCTCACTGCAAGCTCTGCCTCCCAGGTTCACACCATTCTCCTGCCTCAGCCTCCCGAGTAGCTGGGACTACAGGCGCCCGCCACCACGCCCAGCTAATTTTTTTGTATTTTTAGTAGAGACAGGATTTCACCGTGTTAGTCAGGATGGTCTTGATATCCTGACCTCGTAATGTGCCCGTCTTGGCCTCCCAAAGTGCTGGGATTACCGGCATGAGCCACCACGTCCGGCCTGGTTTTGTTTTGTTTGTTTATGTGTTTGTTTGTTTTGGAGACAAGGTCTCCCTCTGTTGCCTAGGCTGGAGTGCAGTGGCACAATAATAGTTCACTGCAGCCTCAAACTCCTAGGCTCATGTGATCCTCCCAGCTCAGCTCCTGACTATCTGGGACTACAGGCTTGTGTTGTTTTAAGTTAAAGAAAAAGTCAGGGCTGGGCGCGGTGGCTGACACCTGTAATCCCGGCACTTTGGGAGGTCAAGGCAGGCAGATCACTTGAGGTCGGGAGTTCGAGACCAGCCTGACTAGCATGGAGAAACCCAGTCTCTACTAAAAATACAAAATTAGCTGGGCGTGGTAGTGCATGCCTGTAATCCCAGCTACTCGGGAGGCTGAGGCAGGAGAATCGCTTGAACCCGGGAGGCAGAGGTTGCAGTGAGCCAAGATCGCACTCTTGTACTACAGCCTGGGCAACAAGAGCAAAACTCTGTCTCAAAAAAAAAAAAAATCCTTTAGACATCCCTTGTGTTTAATAATCCCTGCTTCACCTTCCTTCATTATTTCAGCAGGAAGAAAAAGTGATATAATAAAGGTGAAGGCAGCCAACTATGTTTTGGTGTGTTTTCTAAGCCCCTAAGGACAATTAAGAAAAGCACCTTGTCAAATTGGGACCTGATAGTTAGTCCAATTAGATGTTATCAGGAATCTCTATTTCTAGAAGGGCTGTCCATGTATGCATTGCCGCCATTTGCCATTAGGGGTGCCCTCTGCAAGTCATGGAACCAAGCCAGTGCTCAGTTTTTACAACCTGCAGCAGGGTAGTCGGGGTTCGTGGGCCAGTGGAATCTGAGAGCTGAGCAAGTATAGTGCTGCATACCAAGTGCTGAAAGGTTACTGAGTGAACAGAAGTGGAATGAATGTGTATTTTAAAGGCCAATTGTTCCCATTCAAATCTGAGTTTGAAGGGAAGGAGGCCCAGGCCTTGAGATCATTTTCAGTTCTGCTACTTGAATAACAACATCTTTGTTCCTCAAGTAGCAACAACTAAAAGCAGCAAAGCCTTTCTGGAACTTCAGCTCAAAATTAAGCTGTGACTTAATTTTCTTCAGAAAGGGATCCAGATTGAAATGTGAATATACTAGATAATGTTTTTGTTTTGTTTTTTCATTTTGTACCATAGCAAGAAGGACCCTTTTATTAAAGGTTTCCAAAATATTCACTTGGTCACAATCAAGATAATGGTAACATATATTTAATGGTAATATATTTAAATTGATCATTATGATATATACTTATATAGATATATGTTAGTGTATAGCATATTAGTGTGTATAGCATCTTAGAAAGAACAGATATATTTATATTAAAATATTTGTTGCATTCTTAAGTGCAAAGCAGCTTTTATTCTCTTGATAATTATTGATTATATCCCGACATTTGTATAAAAAATTCACTTTATTTCGACAGATCCTAATTTGCTGTTACTGTATCAAGTGGCCTTGCCATTTTTTTTTAATTTTATTTTGATTATTTTTAAATTGACCAATAATAATTACACGTATTTGTGGGGTACATGGTGAAGTTTTGATACATGTAATGTATAGTGAATAGATCAGGGTAGTTAGTATATCCATTATCTCCAACATGTGTCATTTATTTATGTTAGTAAAATTCAATACCCTCCTTCCAGCTATTTGAAACTAGATAATACATTATTGTTAACTATAGTCATCCTATGGTGCCATAGAACACTAGAACTTATTCCTCCTATCTAGCTGTAATTTTATTACTGGAAAGGGGTCCCAATCCAGACCCCAAGAGACGACTCTTAGACCTCATGCAAGAAAAAATTCAGGACAAGTCCATAAAGTGCAAGCATGTTTATTAAGAAGGTAAAGGAATAAAAGAACGGCTATTCCATAGGCAGAGCAGTGGCATGGTCTGCTCAACTAAGTATACTTGTATCTTGATTATATGCTAAACAAGGGGTGGATTATTTGTGCGTTTTCTGGGGAAAGGGTAGGAATTTCCCAGAACTGAGGGTTCCTTCCCTCTTTAGACTATATAGGGTAACTTCTAGACATTACCATGGCATTTTTAAACTGTCTTAGTGCTGGTGGGAGTGTCTTTTAGCATGCAAATGTATTATAACTAGTGTATAATGAGCAGTAAGGACTATCAGAGGCCACTTTCATTGCTCTCTTGGTTTTGGCCAGGTTCTTTACTGCATCATGTTTTATCAGAAGGGTCTTTGTGACCTATATCTTGTGCCAACTTCCTATCTCATCCTGTGACTAAGAATGCCTAACCTCCTGGGAATGCAGCGCAGTAGGTCTTAGCCTCATTTTACCCAACCCCTATTCAAGATGGAGTTGCTCTCCTTCAAATGCCTCTATTTTGTATCCTTTAACAAATCTTTCCCTATCCCTCCTTCCTCCCCACCTTTCCCAGCCTCTAGTATCCTCTGTTCTACTAGGTAATGTTTTTATTTTATTTTATTTTATTTTATTTTATTTATTTATTTATTTATTTATTTATTCATCAGATGGAGTCTTGTTTTGTCACCCAGGCTGGAGCATGCAGTATTACAATCTCTGCTCACTGCAACCTCCCCGGGTTCAAGTGATTCTCCCACCTCAGCCTCCCCAGTAGCTGGGACCACAGGCACATGCCACCATGCCCAGCTAATTTTTGTATTTTTAATAGAGACAGGGTTTTGCCATGTTGGCCAGGCTGGTCTCGAACTCCTGGCCTCAAGCGATCTTCCCACCTCGGCCTCCCAAACTGCTGGGATTACAGATGTGAGCCACCGCACCCAGCCAGTGATTTTTTTTTTTTTGAGACGGAGTCTTGCTCTGTGCCCCAGGCTGGAGTGCAGTAGCGGCCAGTGATGTTTTTAAATGCTTTAAAATAACTGTTTTATGGCCCACGCCTGTAATCCCAGCACTTTGGGATTATGCCACCAGGTGTGGTGGCAAGTGCCTGTGGTCCCAACTACTTGGGAGGCTGAGGCGGGAGAATCATTTGAACCTGGGAGGTGGAGGTTGCAGTGAGCCGAGATCACGCCACTGCACTTCAGCCTGGGTGACAGAGCTAGACTGTGCCTCAAAAAATAAAATAACTGTTTTAAAATACCCATGTCTTTGATTTGGGGTAATTGTTATTTCATTTTACAGTATATTGCCTATTTAATCTAGTGTCACACCACAGCGTATTAGAAAGAACATGGAAGACTTATAGGTCTGGACTTACTGCATTGATAGATTGTCTAATCTTTTTTATCCTCAGTTTATTCTTCTGTAAAAACGGAAATAAAAATCCTCCTTGTCAGGGATAATACCTTGCAGGATAGTAAGGGTTAACTAAAAAGGTGTATGTGAAGATACCTAACAGTAAAGGGGTATTGAATAAATGGCTAATGTTGTTTCCTCATCTCACTACCAATTCCACCTGTCACAGCTCAGTAGATGCTGCCGGTAAAAAACTTTTTTTTTTTTTTTTTTTGAGATGGAGTTTTCACTCTTGTTGCCCAGGCAGGAGTGCAATGGCGCGATCTTGGCTCACCACAACCTCTGCCTCCCGAGTTCAAGCGATTCTCCTACCTCAGCCTCCCGAGTAGCTGGGATTACAGACATGCACCACCACGCCCGGCTAATTTTGTATTTTTAGTAGAGACAGTGTTTCTCCATGTTGGTCAGGCTGGTCTTGAACTCCTGACCTGAGGTGATTCGCCCACCTTGGCCTCCCAAAGTGCTGAGATTACAGGCATGAGCCACCATGCCTGACCAACATATTATTTTAATAACTGACTATAACCCAACTACAGCCATATTCGCTACTATCAAGAAAGGAAAATTCATTTAACTTAAGAAAAGCAACACAAGCAGAACAAACTTAGAGAATAATATAATGCCAAGACCAAGATCTCTCCAGAGATAGTTTAAATCTGGGTTTACATTTTCCCCTACTTCAGGGCTCTTCTGGGATGCTGGTAGTGACCTATTTCTTAATCAAGATGGTGGTTACAAGGGTGTGTTCATGGTATGATAATTCATTGAACTATACACTTAAGATTTGTGTACTTTCTATATGTATATATTATTCTTCAACTAAAAATGTAAAAATATTTCTCTGCAGAAATCATGCCCAAGTTCAAACAACGAAGACGAAAGCTAAAAGCCAAAGCCAAAAGATTATTCAAAAAAAAAGAAGCCTCCCACTTTCAGTCCAAGCTAATTACATCTCCTCCTCCACCACCCTCGCCAGAAAGGTAAGGCATAATGTGGAACAGAGAAAATGCTAGAGAGATCTGATCAGTTTAAGATAGAGTTTCCAGATTTAGCAAATAAAAATAGAAGGCAGGGCTGGGGGCAGTCACTCATGCCTGTAATCCCAGCACTTTGGGAGGCCAAGGCTGGTGGATTACCTGAGGTCAGGAGTTTGAGACCAGCCTGGCCAATGTGGTGAAACCCTGTCTCTACTAAAACTACAAAAATTAGCCTGTGTGGTGGTGGGAACCTGTAATCCCAGCTACTCGGGAGACTTAGGCAGGAGAATTGCTTGAACCCGGGAGGCGGAGCTTGCAGTGAGCCGAGATCGCGCCATTGCACTCAAGCCTGGGCAACAAGAGTGAAAGTGCCTCTCAAAAAAAAACAAAAGGAGGCCCAGTTAAATTTGAATTTCAGATAAACAATGAATAATTCTTTCATATAATTGTGTTCTATGTGACATTTGGAATATATTTATACTATAATTATGCATGCTTTATCTGAAATTAATTTATTTTAATTTTTATTTATTTGTTTGTTTACTTTTAAGACTCAGTCTTACTCTGTCACCTAAGCTGGAGTGCAGTAGCATGATCAAGGCTCACTGCAGCCTTGACTTCCTGGGCTCAAGAGATCCTCCCACTCTGTCTCCAAAACAGACAAAACCTCTAGCTTGGGATCGGCCTTCTCGTCTATTATTTTTCTTTTTAAAAATTTTTTTTGAAAATAGATGTTGATACTATGTTGTCCAGGCTGTCCTCAAACTCTTGGCCTCAAGTGATCCTCCCGCCATGACTTCCAAAAGTGCTGGAAATGTAGGTGTGAGCACTGCACCCACCGTTATGTTTTTTTCTACATAAAAAATAATGCAGGATTATCTTCTAGAGCTAATTAATATGTTCAAATAACCAAAACCCCATTAAGGAAAAATGTCACATGACAGCAAATAATCAATCCAGACCAATATGATCACACTCACTGTGAAGGTGAGAAAACTTCATCTTTATTACATTTCCCCAAGAGACGCACCGCATTGTTCTCTTGAAAACACACAGCTCATGTCCTCCTTTAAAACACACATCCTCTTTAAAGTAACATACAGACATGCCAATACAAGGTAAAAAATTACATCTGATTTCTCACATTTCAAAAACGTACAGTAAACATCAAATAAAAATTTATTTTTATAAGAATTTAGAGGAACTATCATGTAGCTGTAAGTGTAATAGATATATTAAGTATCATAGATAAAAAGAGTGCTCCCTTCAGCAGCACATGTAGTAACAGATACAAAGATTTAAAGATAAAAGCTTTAGGATAAAAAGAATCCTCTCTTAAAAAGGAAAACAAAATTATATTTATGTATATATAGCAACTATAACACCCATCTCACAACTTTATAGGAACAGTGTCTATTCAAAAATATCAGTATTTTCAAAATATTTAAAATAAATGTAGTAATAATTCTATGCCCATCTTTTTCAAAATAAACCAATAAAATATATAGTATATATTAGACATGTTAGTATATATCTAAGACATGCTAAAAATCACAACTGAATTCTCACAATTCAGTCACAAATCTAAACAGCAACTAAAAATTTCTGTGACAGGAACTTAGGAGAACTACCAATAGCTATAAATAGAAGGGATTATTATGTAAGTATCCTAGATAAAAAGTATACTTGCTTTAGAGGCACATATAATAATACAGAAAACAATTTAAAGATAATAAAAGATTTAGGATAAAAAGGATTCTCTCTTAAAATGAAAAGAAAATTATATATATATAACAGCTATAACTCTCATCAAAAAATCTACAGGAACAGCATATTTTCAAAAGTACAACAATTTCCAAACTATTTGAAATAAACCTATTAATAATTCGATGGACAACATTTTCCAAACAAACCAATAAATGCATAGTGTGCATGAAGCTATCTGTTACAGTCTATGGCACTCATATTTTACAAAGAATTCTGTGCCAATCTGAGTGTCTGCACTGTGCCTTCAAATGCTCCTGGATTGTGGCAACCAAGTCCATAGGAAACAAGACCTCCAGGTTCCGCCCCGGGGAGGTTGGAATTCAGCAATATAAAAAAAGAGAGGTGGTGCTGCAGGAAGGAGTGGAACCAGGAACACCCCTGGTTTCTCACTGTTCTCTGTGGATTCCTAGAAGTACCCGCTTTGTCCTAGGAGGACAACGGTGATCACTCTATTCAGCTCCATCTAGAACAGTCCAGGTTCTTCTAGATGATCTGCACAAATGGCTCCTCTCCTCCTTCCTGGTGTCTGCCATTAGCATTGGAATAAAGTTCCTGCTGAAAATCCGCATCTCCCCTGGGCCCGGTGTTCTGGAAGTGAGAGAGAGGATGTCACACTTCAAGGAGGCAGCTCTCTAGACAGGAAGGTTATTCACGTCCCACGTCAAGTCTAACAGGAGTTCAGAGCCATTGAGAAATCCAGTTTTATCATCTGTCCTTCATTCTGTAGCCTGCTTCTGAACCATCGTGTTCAACTGTGAAACTCACACTTTGGTGACCCTGATTCCAAAACTCATTTAATACACCCAAGGTCAGTCCCAGTGATCTGCTTCATAGCAAGGACTTTGGGTGGGTCTCCTCAGGGAGTCGGGCACCCTCAGAGAGTGTGGCTTTGGACTTCATCACAGCTGGGGCCTTTTGTGTCACTTAAGAGCTAAACTTGTAACCACGCTAGATCCATTTCTAATGTGACAACATCACGAACCCCGAGTCCAGAAGCCTAATCTATAATCCTACCTCCTCATGATGAAGTCTCATGCTCTGCTCACCGTGGTTAGCTGCGTAAGATGTAAACCAAAGCTTCACTGAACCCTCGACCCAAATCGGTAACTCAAGTGCGTCAATCATAATGAACCTCCCCAAACTCAGTATTTATGATTATTTTTGAGTCAGGGTCTCACTCTGTTGCCTGGGCTGGAGTGCAGTGGCAGGATCAGGGCTCCGTGCAGCCCCGACCTCCCAGGCTCCAGTGATCCTCCCACATCGCCTGACTAATTTTTGTATTTTTGTGGAGAGGGAATCTCGCCATGTTGCCCAGGCTCGAAGCCGGATCAAGCAATTGGGTTCCTTGGATTTCCGAAATAGACCCCAATATTCTGCCTTTACCCTGAAGGATGCAGATGTACCTTCCCTCAGGCCGATGACCTCAGGCCTCCATGGTCCCTGGTGCTCTAGGAAAGGCGGGCGCGATCTCGTGCCCACACCCAGTGCTCTGGGTCATAAGCCTGGATCTGGAAAAACAAATGGCTCTTAAGAAGATGGGGACTCCCCAGGATATCCCTCCCCCTGCTTCCAGCCTCCAGCCCACCTGATTCCTCCCTACCTCCTCCACCTCCCCACGCCCCACCCACCTCCTCCAACTCCTCCAGGGAAACCCAAGCCCTGCAGCGCATGGAACAGAAGAACTGGAACCGAAGCTTATGGAACAAGGGTATCTGGGATCGGTTCTTCCCGTACAGGAAGTAGAAGATGTTTCGTTTGGAGGCCTCGTTGTCCTCCTCCATGTCATTGGCCAGGTAGCTGGGGACAGAAATCAGGTTGCTGCTCAGGGGCACCACCAGGAGAGACCTCCGGCTGAGGTCAGCTTCCCAGAGAGGAGGGCAGGGGACTGCCCTCAGCTCAGGACTGGCACCCACCCTGCAGAGCCATGCCTTCCTCAGGAGGGCCCTGATGGACAGAGACCTGCTGAAGGGCATCTCCCAGTCCTTCAGGATGGAGACAAAAACCCAACTGGTGGTCAAGAGTGGTGGCTTACTCCTGGAATCCCAGCACATTGGGAGGCTGAAGCAGGATCATTTGAGGCCAGGAGTTTGAGATGAACCTGGGCAACATAGCAAGACCCTCATCTCTATAAAAAATGTAAAAAACACGCTGGACGTGGTGACTCATGCCTGTAATCCCAGCACTTTGGGAGGCTGAACCAGGTGGATCGCTTGAGGCCAGGAATTCGACACCAGCCTGGTCAACACGGTGAAACCCCATCCCTACTAAAAATACAAAAATCAGCCTGGTGTGGTGGCACAGGCACCCTTTAGTCCTGGCTACGCAAAAGGCTGAGGCACAAGAATTACATGAACCCAGGAGGAGGAGGTTACAGTGAGCCAAGATTGGGCCACTCCATTCTAGCCTAATAGGCAGAGCAAGTCTCTGTATCAATAAATAAATAAATAAATAAATAAATAAATAACTGTCCAGGTGTGGTGGCACAGACCTGTGGTCAAAGCTAATCTGGAGGCTGAGGTGGTAGGATCACTTGAGTACAGGATATGGAGGCTGCAGTGAGCTATGATCTCACCACTGCACTCCAGCTTGGGGGACAGAGCAAGTCTGTCTAAAAAAGTAAAATAAATTGAATACATTGATATTTTGCCAAACCCTGCCTTCTACAGGCATCTAGTCTAATGGGACTGGGAGTGATCAGGGCAGATGACCTAATCCCAATGTCACATGGTAATAGGATGTAACTGGAGAGCTACGAGCATGCAAAAGTTGGAAGATGAAGGAAGGCATCACAGAGGCCGTGGGGTGAACTGACTTTAAGGAACGGGTCCTTCACTTCAGAACCACATGGGTGTGAAACACCCAGACAGAAAACACAAATGCAAAGTCGGGTAGAGGGCATTTGGAAGGAGCGGTGAAGCCACGCCAGGAAACACCAAGATGGCGAGCCAGTTTGGTTGTAGAGATTGTAGAGAGGGTGGAATTTGCACTGTGGACCCTGGCCTCGATTTTGAAAGACATCAGCTAAGGAAGTTGTTCAGGTGGGCAGTGAGGGCGTTGTGCTTTGGAAAGATGCTCAGGCTGCACTAGGAAGCCCCAAGGCTTGGAGAGAGACTCCAGGAGACCCCAGCAGGGAGCATTTGACAGTGGATTAGAGTGATGCAAGAGGGACCTGAACTGTGGCCTCTGTCATGGGAACCTCGAGGAGGTCGATGGCATTTGCAGTTGATGGAAGGAGAGAGAGAGAAGAACCAGAAACGTCTGCTTGCTGGGGGGAGCGTCGTGTCCACTCCTCTGCTCCTTTTCTTCTCCCCTTAGTGGTTGATGGTTCCTTTTGTTTTATTCTTTTATTTGCACACTGGCATTGGAATTTGTTTTTCTGGCTTTCTTTTTTTCTTTTTGAGAAAAAGTCTCGCTCTGTTGCCCAGGCTGGAGTGCAGTGGCTCAATCTTAGCTCACTGCAACCTCTGCCTCCTGGGTTCAAGGGGTTCTCTTGCCTCAGCCTCCCAAGTAGCTTGGATTACAGGTGCACACCACCATGCCCAGCTAATTTTTCTATTTTTAGTAAAGACGGGGTTTCGCCATGTTGGCCAGGCTCGTCTCGAACTCCTGACCTCAAGTGATCCGTTTGCCTCAGCCTCCCAAAGTGCTGGGATTACAGGCATGAGCCACCGCGTCCAGGCTGAGTTTCTTTTTAGAAACAACAGTCTAAGAACAAGATAGTATAATCCTCTCTTTTCTGTACACAGAGTAAAGAGGACAAATAGGTGAAAGAATAAATGAAAGTCTGGAATCCCACTTTCCCTGCTGTCCCAGGGCATTGGATATTGACTGATAGGAGGAAGCAAACCACTCACAGAGCCAGGAAGAAATGAATGCGTTGGTATTGCCAGGAGAAGAGGCCAGCACGGCTAAAATATGCTATGACCATAGCCAGGAGATACTGGTGGAGAGAAAGAAACAGAGAGAGGGAGAGGTCACATCTTGAGAGAGGAAGATCGTGGAGATAGTGGAATGGGGGTGTGGGGAGGGGCTGCCCATCAGAGAAGGGACCTCAGTGTTGGCGTGACTGTGCTCATGTGGAAATTGCAGGGTGGAGGAATCGTGACTGTGCTCATGTGGAAATTGCAGGGTGGAGGAATTGTGACTGTGCTCATGTGGAAATTGCAGGGTGGAGGAGTATTCCTCCCATCACCGGAGGAAGGGATGTCGGTGATGCGCCCAGGATGGTGGGCTCCAATGGGATCTTTTGACGGGTGTGTCTAGGTCGGCTGGTGTCAGGAGGGTCTTTTGTGTGCCAGGCAGAGAACTGTCCCAAAGAGCTAAGAGTAGAGGGGCCAGGAGCTTCAGGGCTGCGGCCTGACTGCCAAACGACCTGTAGGAGAGGCAGGGGCCACTCATTCACTCGGCAAGAGACCAGCAGTGTCCTGAGGGAGATGCTGACAAATCATAAAAAGACCAAGAATAGCGGGGCGCGGTGGCTCACGCCTGTAATCCCAGTACTTTGGGAGGCCGAGGCAGGCGGATCACAAGGTCAGGAGATCTCGACCATCTTGGCTTACGCAGTGAAACCCCGTCTCTACTAAAAACACAAAAAATTAGCCGGGCGTGGTGGCGGGCGCCTACAGTCCCAGCTGCTGGGAGGTCGAGGCAGGAGAATGGCGTGAACCCGGGAGGCAGAGCTTGCAATGAGCAGAGATTGCGCCACTGCACTCCAGCCTGGGCGACAGAGCGAGACTCCGTCTCAAAATAAAAAAAAAAGACCAAGAATAGCTGGGAGTGGCAGCTCAAGCCTGTGATCCCAGTAGTTTGAGAGGCTGAGACAGGAGGATCACATGAGCCCAACAGTTCGAGAACAACCTGGGCAACTTAGCAAGACCATTTGTATAAAATTATTCAAGCATAATGGCATGTGCCTGTACTCCCAGCTACTCAGGAGGCTGAGGCAGGAGGATTGCATGAGCCCAGGAATTAGAGGCTGCAGTGAGCTGCGATCATGCCACTCTACTCCATCCTGGGGAACACAGCTGGATACTGTCTCAAAAAAAAAAAAAAAAAAAAAAAGTGGGCACCAAGACTCAAGACTGTGGGAGCTGGAGGGGCACAGTGGCTCACTTCTGTAATCCCAGCATTTTGGGAGGCCAAGGCGAGCGGAACACCTGAGGTCAGGTGTTCAAGACCAACCAGGTCAACATGGCAAAACCTCGTCTCTACTAAAAACACAAAAATTAGCCAGCCATGGTTAATTGTAATCCCAGCTGCTTGGAAGACTGAGGCAGGAGAATGCCTTGAACCCAGGAGGCGTCTGCTGCAGTGAGCCAAGTTTGAGACACTGCCTCCAGCCAGGGCAACAGAGCGAGACTGTCTCACAAAAAGAAAAGAAAAAGACTGTGGGAGCATCTGGTGGGAAGTGCTGGAGGGAGAGAGGAGAGGAACTGTGGGTTTGGAAGCTGCGCCCTCCCCCTGGCAGTGCATTGAAGCAGGAACACAGTTCTGTGGAGAACAACCTTACCTTGTCGGACACCCTCAGATCTTTGTCCCAGGCCAGGAATCTTTTAACGACAGGATCCTCTGTGATTAGAGAGCAGATGTCAGCATGAGAAGCAGGACAGGGTTTCTGTGGGAGCAGCAGGGCAGCAAGGAGAAGTGTGTCTCCCTAAGGGAAATCTCAGGATTGCTGCCACAAGTGAGGTGGATGGGAGAGGGGAGAATGACTTTCACTGGGCAAGGGAGAGAGGCTCCTGCTCTGAGACTCGCCTGAGAAGAGGCCGAAGGAGGCCTTGGGTGTGAGAATCTACAGGATGTAGAGCTGGCAATAAGCCAGAACGCCCTCCCAGCAGACACAGAGGGACCACTGCACAGTCATAAAGGAATTCCCATCATTTCCTCATGAGACAGTCACATCAGGGTGTGACCATGGCCTAGGTATCCCCCTCTACAGATGGAGACACTTAGGTTTAGAAAAGTCAGCAAGAGACAATAAGTTTTAGAGGGCACAGCTGAAGCCACTTTCTTTGATTTTTGATTTTGTTTTATAAATTTATTTTTTGTTTTTTTTTTTTTTGAGCTGGAGTCTCGCTCTGTGGGCCAGGCTGGAATGCAGTGGCACGATCTCAGCTCACTGCAACCTCAGCCTCCCGGGTTCAAGCGATTCTCCCATCTCAGTCCCCTGAGTAGCTGGGATTACAAGCGTGTGCTACCACGCCTAGCTAATTTTGTATTTTTAGTAGAGATCAGGTTTTACTATGTTGGTCAGGCTGGTCTCTAACTCCTGACCTCAGGTGATCCACCAGCCTCGGCCTCCCAAAGTGCTAGGATTACAGGTGTGAGCTACTGCGCCCGGCCTTGCTTTTTCTTTTGAGACAGAGTTTTGCTCTGTCACCCAGGCTGGAGTGCAGTGGTGCCATCATAGCTCACTGCAGCCTCAAAGTCCTGAGTTCAAGCAATCCTCTTGCCTCAGCCTCCCAACATGGTGGGATCTCAGGCGTGAGCCACCGCACTTGGCCCAAAACCAAGATTTCTTATCCCAGGCAGTGACCTAATCCTAATCTTCTATTGTCTCCTAAGCGTCCCTTATGAGTGATCACTTCTGAGTCCTCCCGCATGGAGAGCTCACCCACTGGGGGCATATTTTTCCCATTGGAAAAGTGTGGTTATTGGAAGTTGCCTCTTTTTTAGAATATCAGGACTGGAGGTGCTCTCTGGGGTGTCCTCCTACCAAGCAGCCTGTTGAAAGTCTCGTGGTGCTCAGGGAGCACGCATGACACTCGCTGTCGCTTCAGCTTCATCTTGAGCCCACACAGCGTCTCCGCCGCCCAGGTCTCCTCAGGCTCAGGGGTGAGCTCCTTCTCTGGCTCCTCCTCCGATGACTCCTCAGATTCGTCCGACCACTCCCTCTTCCTTTTCCAGCAAAGGGACCTACGCGGGGGACTAGGATCTACCCCAGGGGCTGAGGAAAGAAACCATGCCACTGTGTAATGCTTCTGCAATTGATCACCTTAGAGCCTGACCCAAAATGCCAAACCACTCTCCATCCTCCCCAGCCCCCAGACTGCTGGCTTCTCCAAGGCATCTTTCCATCTTTCTCCTTTGCTGAACCCCATGAGCCGCTCCTTCCCCCCTCCAAAACGCCAAACCACTCTTCATCCTCCCCAGCCTTACAGACTGCTGGCTTCTCCTCACTGCAACCTCCGTCTCCCAGGTTCCAGTGACTCTCCTGCCTCAGCCTCCCAAGTAGCTGGGATTACAGGTGCTTGTCATAACGCCCAGCTCATTTTTGTACTTTTAGTAGAGACAGGGTTTCGCTATGTTGGCCAGGCTGGTCTCTAACTCCTGGCCTCAAGTGATCTGCCTGCCTTGGCCTCCCAAAGTACTGGGATTACAGGTGTGAGCCACAGCACCCTGCCTCAGTCCCTCCATTCTTCCCACACACCTCCTCAGGTGCTCCTTCCTGACTTCTGGACCTGTCCTTTTTTTTTTTTTGCCACAGGGTCTCAATCTCTCCCTCAGACTGGAGTGCAGTGATGCTATCTTGGCTCAAAGCAACCTCCACCTCCCGGGTTCTAGTGATTATCCTGTCTCAGCCTCCCAAGTAGCTGGGAATACAGGCGTGCACCACCACGCCCGGCTAAGTTTTGTATTTTTGATATTGACGAGGTTTCTCTATATTGGTCAGGCTGGTCTCGAACAACTGACCTCAGGTGATCCACCCACCTCAGCCTCCCAAAGTGCTGGGATTACAGGCGTGAGCTACCGCACCCAGCCTTTGGTTTTCTTTTGAAACAGGGTTTTGCTCTGTCATGCAGGCTGGAGTGCAGTGGTGTGGTCATAGCTCACTGCAGCCTCAAAGTCCTGAGTTCAAGCAATCCTCTTGCCTCAGCCTCCCAGTGTGCTGGGATCTCAGGCATCAGCCACCACACCTGGCCCAAAACCAAACTTTCTCTTTTTTGTTGTTGTTGTTGTTGTTGTTTTGAGACGGAGTCTCGCTCTGTCACCCAGGCTAGAGTGCAGTGATGCGATCTCGGCTCACTGCAAGCTCCACCTCCGGGGTTCATGCCATTCTCCTGCCTCAGCCTCCCGAGTAGCTGGGACTACAGGCACCCGCCACCATGCCCGGCTAATTTTTTGTATTTTTAGTAGAGACGGGGTTTCACCATGTTAGCCAGGATGGTCTTGATCTCCTGACCTTATAATCCGCCCACCTCGGCTTCCCAAAGTGCTGGGATTACAGGCGTGAGCCACAGCGCCCAGCCCAAAACCAAGCTTTCTTGTCCCAAGCGCCAACCTTTATCAAGTCCAGCCTAATCCTCTATCATCTCCTAAGCGTCCCTCATGAGTGATCACTTCTGAGTCCTCCCACATGGAGAGCTCACCCACTGGGGGCATATTTTTCCCATTGGAAAAGTGTGGTTATTGGAAGTTGCCTCTTTTTTAGAAGAACAGGATTGGAGGTGCTCTCTGGGGTGTCCTCCTACCAAGCAGCCTGTTGAAGTCCTCGTGGTGCTCAGGGAGCACGGACGACACTAGCTGTTGCTTCAGCTTCAACTTCAGCTTCATCTTGAGCCCACACAGCATCTCCACCACCCAGGTCTCCTCAGGCTCATGGGCGAGCTCCTTCTCTGGCTCCTCCTCCGATGACTCCTCAGATTTGTCTGACCACTCCCTCTTCCTTTTGCAGCAGAGGGACCTACATGGGGGGCTGGGATCTACCCCAGAGGCTGAGTGAAGAAACCAGGCCACCGTGTAATGCTTCTGCAACTGATCACCTTAGACCCTGACCCCAAACCCCAAACCACTCTCCATCCTCCCCAGCCTCAGAGACTGTTAGCTTCTCCAAGGCATCTTTCTGACTTTCTCCTCTGCTCAACCCCATGTTCTGCTCCTTCCCCTCCCCATTATTCCGACTCTGTGTCCTCAGAACACTTCCTCATGTCCTTCCCTGATCCCTGGCTCTCTGAGTCCCTCCTTTGTTTTTTGTTTTTGTTTTGTTGTGTTTTTTGTTTTGAGACAGAATCTTGCTTTGTCACCCAGGCTGGAGTGCAGTGGTGCAATCTCAGCTCACTGCAACATCTATCTCCCGGAGTCCAGTTATTCTCCTGCCTCAGCCTCTCAGGTAGCTGAGATTACAGGTGCCTGCCATAATGCCCATTTTTGTACTTTTAGTAGAGATGGGGTTTCACCATTTTGGCCAGGCTGGTCTCAAACTCCTGGCCTCAAGTGATCCGCTTGCCTTGGGCCTCCCAAAGTGCTGGGATTACAGGTGTGAGCCATTGCACCTGGCCTGAATTTCTCCATTCTTCCCACACACCCTCCTCAGGTTCTCCTTCCTGACCTCTGACCCTTCTTTTTTTTTTGGAGACAGTGTCCAACTCTCTCACCCAGACTGGAGTACAGTAGCGCAATCTCGGGTCACTGCAACCTCTTCCTCCCAGGCTCAAGCGATTCTCCTGTCTCAGCCTCCCGAGTGGCTGGGATTACAGGCGTGCACCACTACCACCTGGCTAATTTTTGTACTTTCAGTAGAGATGAGGTTTCACCATGTTGGCCAGGCTGGTCTTGAACTCCTGACCTCAGGTGATCCGCCCGCCTCAGCCTCCCAAAATGTTGGGGTTACAGGTGTGAGCCACTGCACCCAGCCCCCTTCCTTCATCTTAGTCAACCCTATCCCACCTCTTCTTCCTCCAGTCACCTCACCTGATGGTCCCGACACTTCATTATCTACCACCTCCTGGCGGGGGTACCCCGAGGTGCTCAACTGGGGGCTCTGCTCCTCATCCTGGGGGTGCGGTTGACAACTGGTCATGATCTTTCCAAAATCTGTCCCAACCCACGGAACCTAGTCTCTGTTCTGTCCAAAGCCGCCTTCTGGACTCTGCCAGGACCCGGAAGAGTGTATTATCAATTCTTGAGGCTAGGAGAAGTCAGGAGTGGAGAACAGCTCTGAGAAGATGCTGTTGTCCACCTGAGCTCCCAGGCGCCAACGGAGGCCAGTCCTTCCAATCAGGAAGGTTGGAATCTCTGATGTCATCGGTCATTCCAACCTGGCAACCAGTTTGAAGAAAAACACATGTAACTGCCAAGCTGATCTCCTGTCCTGGAGATCCTGGGTGAATGGATGGTACCTCCTGCCACTGTCCCAACCTCAGACCACTGTCCAAAAGCATCATCAGGGTCTCCGCATCCCCTCTGTTCCCTGTCCCAGCAGAGGCTGTGTCCTCTCCACGCAAAGCATGTTGGGGTCTCCTCTGTACATGCCCATTTCAGAGACCAGTCTGGTAGGAGAGGGAACAGGGTGGGAAAGAAAACTAGGGTAAGCAGAAACTATGAAACTTTACAAGAGTGAGATTATCATGTACAAGAGATCCCAAGAACATTGACTTGATGAAAAAGTCACATCAGAGCACTCAATTTGTCACTTTTCTGCCGAATGTTTACTGACTTTCGCTGTCTGAGATTCTATACTGGGGGTACATATGTCCTCTGCCCTAAGGCATCTTTGAGTCCAAGAGACATTTTGAGGCCTGAAAATCATAGGAAACTGCCCTTGAGCTCACGCATGTTTCCAATGGTGTCCCCAATTTCAGGGAGTCCATGGATTACCTAAAGCCAGCCCCTCCAGTTCCGCTAAGAAACTAGTCTGTATATCAAGTTTTGTATCATATGTATTGCTCTGAACTCAGAAATTTCCCTACCATTTATGGATTCTATGAATAAAATATCCCATGTACAAAAAGACTAAATCGAAAAATCTCAACTGTACACAGTGGCTCATGCTTGTAATCCCAGCACTTTGAATGGCCAAGGGAGGAAGATTGCCTGAGGCCAGCAGTTCAAGACCAGTGTAGGCAACATAGCAAGACCCCATCTCTAAAAAAACAAAACCAAACCAAATTAGACAGGTGTGGTGGCTGGCACCTGTGTTCCAACTACTTGGGAGACTCATGCGACAGGAAGATCGCTTGAGCCCAGGAGTTAGAAGCTGCAGTGAGCTATGATCTTGCCACTGCACTCAAGTCTGGGCAACACAGCAAGACGTTGTGTCAAAAACATTTTTTTTTTTTTTGGATAAAAAATAAAAGAGTTGCATGATATTCAGAGACTATCCAAAAAACCTGTGGGTTCCCGGCCGGGCTCAGTGGCTCATGCCTATAATCCCAGCACTTTGGGAGGCCAAAGAGGGTGGATCACTTGAGGTCAGGAGTTTGAGACCAGACTGGCCATCTCTACTAAATATACAAAAAATTAGCCAGGCATGGTGGCAGGTGCCTGTAATCCCAGCTACTCGGGAGGAGGGGCTGGAGAATCACTTAAACTCGGGGTGCGGAGGTTGCAGCGAGCCAACATCACATCATTGCACTCCAGCCTGGGCAACAAGAGCAAAACTCCATCTCAAAAAAAAATAAGGAACCTGTGAGTAAGTTCCCACACGGTTTCCTAATGGGCTCCGGCTCTCCTAGGAGTCTCTTGCTCATGGGAAAGGCACAGACTGAACGAGGAAGCTCTGCTTTTCTGGAGTTCAAATTTGCATTCATGATGCTTTAACCCGTCAGAGCTGGGTAGGTCCTCCTACAACAAAACAGTTTGCTATCTCTCTCCTAGTTAGCAGGCTTTCAAATATTAGAAGATCAATGTTCTGACCCCATTAAAATTTCTCTTGTGGAATGAAAAGCTCTGATTTAACCCGTCTTCAAGCCTGCTTTGCATATTCCTCTCTCTTCTGGCACACCACCATGCCTGGTTCAATTTTGCATTTTTTTGATAGGGACAGGGTTTCGCCATGTTGCCGAGGCTGGTCTCGAACTCCTGGTCTCAAGCAATCTGCTCACCTCAGCCTCCCAAAGTGCTAGGATTAGAGGCACGAGCCACCACGCCAGGCCAAGGCTATTATTCTGACTTAGAGGTTTTTGTTTGTTTCATTTTGATTTTCCTACAGAGTCATTATTTCTTCAATAGATATATCTCAAAGCAGAAGCTGGCTAAGATCATCCTGGAACTTCAAATTTCCTAACATCAGAGATGCGATAGAACTTTGGACAAATAGAGTGTGGTCTATATACAGCTGGTGCCAGAACTGCATAACCCAGGTATGGATGTGACATCCCTGTTTTCAGCACTATAGTTCTTCTACACACTTGGTGTTTATATACATACGTGCTCAAGTCAGTCCAACCCTCAAGCTAAACTCAGATAAGATGAAATTATTGAGTCATGCCTGCCTTTGCTTCTATAAAACATGCATCAAGTCACTTTCTGGTTCCTGTTTTCTTGTCCTTATCATATTACTCATAGGACTCAGAATTGTTTATTATTAATTTCAGAGTTTAGAAGTATTGAAAGACACCATCTTTCCATCTCGTATCTACCACCGAGAACTTTACAGTCTAAAACAACAGTTTTGCATTTTGGAAAGTAAATTATGCAAGCTCCAGGAAGCACTGAAGGTTGGTATTGTCAAATAAAAAGGCAAATCTGGAATTAGGTAAGAAGACACTTTATTTGAAAAGACTATTGCAATAGGGAAAATGCTCAAGTCATAAGATTTATATCTCAAACATTAAGCGAAAAAGTTTTCTTTGTTAGCAAGGAATAAAAGGGTAGAACAAATTGGGTTATGGGGAAGTAAGATGAAGAGTTGGGATAATCTGATTAGACAGCTGATTAGATCAGGGAACATCTTTTCCTGAACATTGTTCAGCATACCAATGCTTGCTTAAGCCCAAGAATAGGTCAAGGTTCTAGGGCCTATGGGGAAGGCTAAATCCTGACTAAAGTTTGGTCAAGTTAGTAGATATTTTGTCCAGATTGGTCAGTGGCAGTGAGCAGTTCAGCTAATCACTTATGAGACAAAGAATGGGAATTTGGAGGGTCTGTGTCTGGCTTTGTCAGATAAACAAGGGAGCCATCCATAAATCTTACCTAACTGATGTGGGAAAAGTTGGTTCCACATCGCTTCCAAAATAATAAATTATTTCCTAGACATAAAACTGTAGGGAGATTTTTTTGTTTGTTTGTTTCTAGAGATTGAAACAAATTATGTTGCCCAGGCTAGACTCCAACTCCTAACTCCTGGGCTCAAGTGATCCTCCTACCTCAGCCTCCTTTAGTAGCTGGGACTGCAGGCTTGGATGGGGAGATTTTTTGGCCATCCTTATTTTCCAGAATCGCAGAGCTCAGGTAAAGTTCAATATTGTCAGTATTAAAGCAGAAGATCTGAAAAAAATATTGCCTGCTGTTTGCTTTTTTTTTTTTTTTTTTAATAGGCAGGGTCTCACTCTGTCACCCAGTCTAGTGTGCAGTGGCATGATCATGGCTCACTGCAACCTTGACCTCCTGGCTCAAGGGATCTTCCTGCCTCAGCCTCCCTTATAGCTGGGACCAGAAGTGTGTGCCACCTACCCAGCGAATTTTTTTATTTTTTGTAGGGATGGGGGTCTCACTTTGTTGTCCAGGCTGGTCTCAAACTCCTGGCCTCAAGTGATCCCCCTACCTCAGCCTCCCAACGTGTTGGGATTGCAGGCATGAGCCATGGCACCTGGCTTGTTTGTAAATTTAAATAATCAGACATAAAAATAAAAATTTATGCACAGCAAAATAAGATGCAAAAGGCTGGGCGCGGTGGCTCACGTCTGTAATCCCAGCACTTTGGGAGGCTGAGGCAGGTGGATCGCCTGAGGTCAGGAGTTCGAGACCAGCTAGCCAAGATGGTGAAACCCTGTCTCCACTAAAAATACAAAAAAAAAAAAAAAATTAGCCAGGCATAGTGGTGCATGCCTGTAATCTCAGCTACTGGGGAGGCTGAGGCAGGAGAATCGCTTGAACCCAGGAGGCGCAAATTGCAGTAAGCAGAGATCATGCCACTGCAGTCCAGCTTGGGCGACACAGCGAGACCATGTCTCAAATAAAATAAAATAAGATGCAAAAATATTTGCTCAAATATGAGGAAAACAATTAATTATTGAATAGATAAAGAACCAATACAAATCAATACAAAAAAGACCAGGCCGGGCGCGGTGGCTCAAGCCTGTAATCCCAGCACTTTGGGAGGCCGAGACGGGCGGATCACGAGGTCAGGAGATCGAGACCATCCTGGCGAACACGGTGAAACCCCGTCTCTACTAAAAAAACAAAAAAACAGCCGGGCGAGGTGGCGGGCGCCTGTAGTCCCAGCTACTTGGGAGGCTGAGGCAGGAGAATGGCATGAACCCGGGAGGCGGAGCTTGCAGTGAGCTGAGATCCGGCCACTGCACTCCAGCCTGGGCGACAGAGCGAGACTCCATCTCAAAAAAAAAAAAAAAAAAAAAGACCAATAACTTAGCAGTAAAATGAGGAAATTATATGAATACAGCATTCACCTAAATATAGGAATACAAGCCAGGTACAGTGGTACACACTTATCATCCCAGCTACTCAAGAAACTGAGATGGGAGAATCACTTGAGCACAGAATTTTGAGGCCATCCTGGGCGGAAAGAAAAGGAATACAAATGGTTCTTAAATACATGAGTAGGGCTGGGCACGGTGACTCATGCTTGTAATCCCAGCAGTTTGGGAGGCCAAAACGGGCAGATCATCTGAGATCAGGAAAATCACTTGAACCCGGGAAGTGGAGACTGCTGTGAGCCAAGATCGTGCCACTGCTCTCCAGCCTGGGTGACAGAGCTAGACTCTGTCTCAAAAATAAAATAAAATAAAAATAAAATAAATAAATACATGAGTAGGTACTCAACTTCACTTAAGAGTGAATCAGGGGCCAGGCGCAGTGGCTTACCCCTGTAATCCCACCACTTTGGAAGGCCGAGGTGGGTGGATCACTTTAAGTCAGGAGTTCAAGACCAGCCTAGCCAATGTGAAACCCCCCTCTCTACTAAAATACAAAAATTAGCTGGATGTGGTAGTGCATGCCTATAATCCCAGCTACTCGGAGGGCTGAGGCAGGTGAATTGCTTGAACCCGGGAAGCGGAGGTTGCAGTGAGCTGAAATCGCACCACTGCACTCCAGCCTGGGCAACAGAGCGAGACTCCATCTCAAGAGTAAATCAGGGCTGGGTGCTGTGGCTCACGCTTGTAATCCCAGCACCTTGGGAGGCCAAGGTGGGCAGATCACTTGAGGTCAGGAGTTTGAGACCAGCCTGGCCAACATGGTGAAATCCTGTCACTACTAAAAATACAAAAATTAGCCAGGTGTGATGGCGGGCACCAGTAATCCCAGCTACTCAGGAGGCTGAGGCAGGAGAAGCACTTGAACCCGGGAGGTAGAGGTTACAGTGAGCCGAGATTGCGCCACTGCACTCCAGTCAGGGTGACAGAATGAGACTCTATTTCAAAAAAAAAAAAAAAAAAAAGTGAATCAGGACTAGGTGTGGTACCAGTGACAAGCCTCAAAGAATATTTGCATAAACAAAATGTCTTTATTTTAGGCAGCAGAAAGAAAAAGTTATCCTACTACCCCCATTAAGGCAACTTCCCAAACTCATTTACAGAACTTGTATTTATCTCTCATTTCGCTAAAACATAGTCATGTATTTAATTATAGCTAGTCACTAGGGAACCTGAGGAATGTAATCTATCATCTGGATTGCAATGTGTCCAGCTAAAAGTCAGGTTTCCTATTACTAAAGAAGAAGGCAAAAATGTATATTGGGAGGCAATTAGTAGTCTCTGCCACACACAAAAAACAGAAATGCAAAATAAACTTCAATGAGTAATGCCTTTAGCCTATCAGATTGACAGAACAAACAAATCAAAGACCAAAAGTTTTGGAGAAACAGGTGCTTTCTTGTTATTGAGAATGCCATAAATTGATAAAACCTCTATGGGCTATAATTAGTTAACATCTATCAACATTTTTAAAATATATATCATTTGATGCAACCAAATTTTGTACATATGTACAAAGTGATTTATTGCAGTGTGATCTGAAAAATAGTGAAAACAAAAAACAAAACTAAGTGTCAAAGAATATGGGATTAATTGACTGAATTATAATCCATTCATTCAGTGGAATACTATGTAGCTGTTAAAAAGAATGAGGTAGTTCTGTATGTACTAATGAGGTATGATCTCAAGAATATACCATCAGTCCCCTACCCCCTAGGAAAACTTTTTTTTAAAAGAATACACTAATGGCCAGGCATGGTGGCTCACGCCTGTAATCCAGCACTTTGAGAGGCCAAGGTGGATGGATCACTTAAGGCCAGGAGTTTGAGACCAGCCTGGCCAACATGGCAAAACCCCATCTCTACTAAAAGTACAAAAAATTAGCCTGGCATGGTGACACGCTCCTGTAATCCCAGCTGCTCCACAGGCTGAGGCAGGAGAATCACTGGAACCTGGGAGACAGATGTTGCAGTGAGCTGAGATCACGCCACAGCACTCCAGCCTGGGCAACAGAGCATGACTGTGTCTCAAAATAATAATAACAATAATAATACACTATTAAATTAAATGTAAAGGTATATTCAGAACAGTGTTTATAGGATGTTCCCATGTATTATTAAAATATATAACTTTGGGAGGCCAAGGTGGTTGGATCACTTGAGGTCAGCAGTTCAAGACCATCCTGGCCAACATGATGAAACCTCCTCTCTACTAAAAAAAATAGCCAGGCATGGTGGCGCATGCCCGTAGTCCTAGCTACTCAGGAGGCTGAGGCAGGAGAATCGTTTGAACCAGGAGGCGGAGGTTGCAGTGAACCATGATCATGCCACTGCACCCCAATCTGGGTGACAAAGCGAGACTCTGTCTCAAAAAAATATTATTTGAGACCAAAAAAAGAATAGAATAATTGTTTTTGTTTGTTTGAAACAAAGTCTCGCTCTGTCACCCAGGCTAAAGTATAGTGGCATGATCTCAGCTCACTGCAACCTCTGCCTTCTGGGTTCAAGCAATTCTTCTGCCTCAACCTCCTGAGTAGTCGGGACTACAGGTTCCTGCCACCACACCTGGCTAATTTTTGTATTTTTAGTAGAGACGGGATTTCACCATGTTGCCCAGGCTGGTCTTGAACTCCTGACCTCAAGTGATCTGCCTGCCTCGGCCTCCCAAAGTGCTGGGATTCTAGATATGAGCCACCACACCAGGCCTAAATAAAATTATTGAGACTAGGTGGGACTCCAAAAATAAATAGCAAAAAAATTAAACATAAAATAAAACTAATTGACCAGTTGAGATTTTGGTTCTAGAAGTAAATTCATTGCTTTTTTGAATTCCTATAATTTTATAACTTTGTCAGAGCAGTTTACTGTGGGTGGCAAGGCAGTATTCAAACAGACCTTAAAAATTAAATTTTGTAGCTGGGCGTGGCATACACACCTATGGTCCCAATTACTCAGGGGACTGAGGTGGGAGGATTCCTTGAGCCTCAGGACACTCCAGCCCATTGCATTCTAGCCTGGGCAACATAGTGAGACCCTGTCTCTAAAAAAAAGTTTTCTTTTAATTTAAAAAGTCTAGAATGAATGTGTGTGTGTATGTGTGAAATAATTCTATAAACCTTTCCTTCTCTTCTTTACGTCTGGTGTACACACTCTACGTTTCATGACTTTTCTCCTATTTCAGCTCTTCTTATATTTTAACCCCAAATCATTAATCCCAATGTACCAGGGAGGATGATGATATAGAACTAAGAATGGGCCAGGCATGGTGGCTCACACCTGTAATCCCAGCACTTTGGGAGGCTGAGGCAGGCAGATCCCAAGGTCAGAAGATCGAGACCATCCTGGCCAACAAGGTGAAACCCCGTCTCTACTAAAAATACAAAAAAATTAGCTGGGCGTGGTGTCACACACCTGTAGTCCCAGCTACTCAGGAGGCTGAGGCAGGAGAATCACTTGAACCCAGGAGGTAGAGGTTGCAGTGAGCCAAGATCATGCCACTGCACTCCAGCACTCCAGCCCTCCAGCCTGGGCGTCACAGCAAGACTCCATCTCAAAAAAAAAAAAAAAAATGTGAACTAACAATGAAGCTCATGTTATTTCCTTCACTAAGAAAGCGCCTAGAAGGCTGTATCAGTCAAAATTCTTTTTAGCCACAAGTGACAGAAACACAATGCAACCCGGCTTAAGCCCATAAAATCAGTAAGTCTAAGGTATGGCTGGATTCAGGGACTCGAATGATATTGTAAGCATCCTGGCTCTGTCTCATCTTTCAGTTCTGCCTTCTTTAGAATAAGTTTATTTCTCAGACAGACTCTCCCCTTGCACTAGCAACATGGTTGCTGGCAGCCTTAGATTCTTATTCTCATAACAGAACAATCTCAGCTGAGAGAACTTGCCCTGGGTCATGTGTCTAGTCCTTGAGTGAGTATCCTGACCAGATCAGGTGGACTGAGGGAGCGAAGGAAAACCCAGGTGCTTTTACCAGAAGTAGGAATGGCTACAGGTGAGGGCTAGTCCCTGGGCCTGTTTACCCCACTTCAGAAGCTCTGCTCTATATTGCTGGGAGGGCTGGCTCCTACAGGATACATTCCTCAAGTTCCAGGTCACCTGGTTCCTGGTTATGATGGCCTATTGCAAGACATTGATGAGAGACTGTAGGGAGGGACAAGACAAGGAGTTTCTTCCCCTCCTCTTTACTGCATGATTTCTCCAGCAATGGTAGTTGTTGCCTTCTGGCCCCATCTCCCACTGGATAAATACTCCATGTTTCTTCTTCTTCTTCCTATTTTTTTTTTTTTTTTTTTTTGAGACAGAATTTCACTCTCGTCCAGGCTGGAGTGTAGTGGCACGATCTCGGCTCACTGCAACCTCCACCTCCCAGGTTCAAGCGATTCTCCTGCCTCAGCCTCCCAAGTAGCTGGGATTACAGGTGCCTGCCACCACGCCTGGCTAATTTTTGTGTTTTTAGTAGAGACGAGGTTTCACTATGTTGTCTAGGCTGGTCTCGAACTCCTGACCTCAGATGACCCACCTGCCTCGGCCTCACAAAGTGCTGGGATTACAGACGTGAGCTACCGCACCCAGCCAATGTTTCCTGATTCTCTGGGTAAACCTACCTCCAGACCTCTGGATACACTGCCTCCACCTTTTGTTTCTCCAGCCTCAGGATGTTAATGGCTTCCTGCTGTTGCTAATCTCTGATTGCCTCACGGTACCCAGTGGGCCTCTCAGCTCTTCCGTTATGAATGTAACCAAGTGCCTGTATTACATGACCCCTCTTTTCTTTTTTTTTTTTTTTTTTGAGACGGAGTCTTGCTCTGTCGCCCAGGCTGGAGTGCAGTGGCCGGATCTCAGCTCACTGCAAGCTCCGCCTCCCGGGTTCATGCCGTTCTCCTGCCTCAGCCTCCCGAGTAGCTGGGACTACAGGCGCCCGCCACCGCGCCCAGCTAGTATTTTTTTGTATTTTTTAGTAGAGACGGGGTTTCACCGTGTTAGCCAGGATGGTCTCAATCTCCTGACCTTGTGATCCGCCAGGATGGTCTCAATCTCCTGACCTCGTGATCTGCCCGTCTCGGCCTCCCAAAGTGCTGGGATTACAGGCTTGAGCCACCACGCCCGGCCTGACCCCTCTTTTCAATATCCAGAGTGGTTTCTATTTTCCTGACGGATATGTGCAGGAAAATATCCACTCCAAACTCCCCTAAGAAAGGCCCCTGTGTCTCAACATTGTGCTCATTGGTCTGGAGAGAAGCTTCTGGAATTCCATTCCTGCTCCCAGAATTTGTGCCTCACGATGAATTAGCCAAAGGAGAAAAAGGCAAGTCATTTAACTCCTGGGCCTCAGTTTCCTCATCTATACATTGGGGATGATACCATTTGTGGGGGACTGAATGCATGGCAGCCTCCAAAAGGTATATTCAAGTCCTAATCCCCAGACCCTGTAAATACAGCCTTATTTGGACAAAGGGCTTTACAAATGTAATTAGGGTAAGGATTTTGAAATGAGGAGATCTTCCTGGATTATCTAGGTGGACCCTAAGTCCCAGGACAAGTGCCCTTACGAGAGAGACACATAGAGAATGCATACAGAGAAGAGAAGCAATGTGACCACAGAGATAGAGATTGGAGTGCTGTAGCCACAAACCAAGGAGTGCTGACAGCTACCAGAAGCCGAAAGAGGCAAGGAACCAATTCTTCCCCAGAGGCATGGGAGGCAGTGAAGCTCCACTGACACCTTGATGTCAGACTTTATGCCTCTAGCACTGTGAGAAAATAAACTTCAATTGTTTTCAGCCACCAAGTTTGGGATAATTTGTTACAGCAGGCACAGGGAATTAATACACTGTTTTACTGCATAGGGTCATTGTGTTTGTTTGCTAGAGCTGCCATAACAAAATACCACAGGCTGGGTGGCTTATACAACAGAAATTTATTTTCTCACAGTCTGGAAGCAAGAAGTCTGTGGCTTCTTGGTTAGTTTATTCTGAGGCTCCTCCTGGGCTTGTAGATGGCTGTCTTCGCTCTATCTTCATACAGTCTTTCCTCTGTGTGAGTACATTCCTGATGTCTCTCTGCATGTCCGATTTCCTCTTACTATAAGAACACCAGTTAGAATGGATTAGGAACCACCCTAACGTCCTCATTTTAACTTAATCACCTCTTTAAAGACCCTATCAAATATAGTCACATTCTGAGGTTCTGGATGTTAAGATTTCAACATACGAATTCTGGGACACAATTCAGTCCACAGTAGTCATGTTCCAGATCCTTGGCCTTTATCAGTTTCTTGAATGTACTATATTCTTGGCTGCATTAAGTATTTTTTCCTCTGCAAGGAACTCTTCCCCTAGTCTTTATCTCCCTTCATCTGCTAAGTCTCAATTTATTCTTGAGATCATGGCTAAATATCACTTCCCAAGCCTCCAGCTGTTCATGCTCATAGCACACTTCATTGATCTTATTGAAGTATTGTTTTGTTTTGAGTGTGTTTGTGCATCTTTGTTTGAGATGAGATCTCACTATGTTGTCCAGACTGGTCTTGAACTCCTGGACTCAAGCAATTCGCTGGATTCAGCCTTCCAAAGTGCTGGGATTACAGGTGTGCACCACCATTCCCGGCCTTCTGTGCATGTTTAATGTCTGTCTTCCCTCACCGGACTGTCAGCTCCATGAGGTGACACACAGGGCTCACACTGTACTTATGGTGCCTGGCATATAGTACATACAAAATAAACGAATGAATGAAATGAAGAAACTTATGATTATAAATGAGAAAATATCATGAAGCACATGGTACACTGAGAAAGCATTCAATACATGGTAGCTATTATTTTGATGACTGTCACCCTCAAGAATCAAATTAACTTGTTATTTATTTGCCAAATGTGATGTCTTCTTCCAGACCATCTCAGAAAGTTCTTCCTGTCCAAGCTGTGGTCAAACATGTCACATGAGTGGTAAACTTACAAATGTGCCTGCCTGTGTTCTCATCACCCCTGGAGACTCCAAAGCTATGCTTCCTCCCACGCTGCCACAGCCAGCCAGCCATCTTCCTCCTCCTCCTCCTCCACCTCCACCTCCACCTCCACCTCCACTTCCACCTCCACCACCTCCTCGACCACCAGTAGCACCTGTGTTGCTCAGAAAACCCAGTCTTGCTAAAGCACTTCAGGTAGGTAACAATCTAGTAATGATATGTTTTGGTCAGTGTGTAATATAGCAGTAAAGCCAAGTAGCCTTTTAAGACCAGGCTAATCAGGGCTTGGGCCGGAAGGCTATATTTTGTTCTGATTCCATATCTTAATTATTATGTTTTTAAAATCTCAGTCCCTGAGGAATTCCTAGAAGCTGGATTGAGAAATGAAAGTGATGTGTGTGAAACCCAGTAGAGTGGAAGATTCCTATTCGCTTCTCAGCATGGCTTTTTCCTAGGGAAGAAAACCTCCCTAGGAAACCAAATTAAAAATAGAAGATTGCTTAGTGAGTGAAGTCAGAACAAAGAGTTAGTGGATTCCAAAGTTTCATGTCGTTAGGCTGGAGAATCAATCTCTATTTCAGTTACTTATTTACCAAGGGGACCAGAAAATTTGTGAATCACTAAGACAGGCATGACCCTGTTTTAAAATCTGCTGAATTTTCACTAGGATACATTTGGTTTAATGTAGCTGAATTAAATCCAGAGTCTTCCCAATCTTGACACCAAAAAAACAAAACAAAAAACCCGGAGCCTATCGTTATATTTGCCCTAATTATACCTCTGTTATTGTATACATTCTTGCTCTATGGAAACTGAGTCATCTTTCTAGGTAATTCAAGGAAAACTTCACTTTAACCCAATTAACTCCTTCAACTCTTGTCTTATTGTAATGACTCCTGCGGAAAATGCATTATTGCAGGAAACTGGTCCATCTCTTATTTGTTAGCAAAGCCTTAGCTTATAAAAATGAAATTGGGGGAGGGGTGGGAAGCCTTACATTTTGATGAATACTTTTCAATGGGTGATAAAAACAGGATTATTCTTGGTTGAGTGGAAAGAATATGAAAGGTTCCTAGGGTAAATAAGAGTTACCTCTTAACTCTGAGTCTTTAAAAACTAGATTTGGATTTGCATTTCACCAGTTGTGCTGGTTCCAATTTGAATTCTTACCTCACCATGTATTTCAAGGTTGGACCATTAAAAAAAGATGGACCCATGCAGATAACAGTTAAAGATCTGCTGACTGTAAAATTAAAGAAGACACAGAGTGTAGATGAAAGGAGGAAGGTAAGATGTCATTGACCATATACATGTTCTTTTTTGCTTTTAACCTTGTTGTCCCATTCTGGAAAATAAGCATAAGCCTTATGTATAGAAGTCATTCCAGGCAGGGTGAGTGGCTCGTGCCTATAATCCCAGCACTTTGGGAGACCAAGGTGGGAGGATCACCTGAGCCCAGGAGTTCAAGACCAGCCTGGGGAACATGGCAAGACCTCATCTCAATTTGTATACAACTAGGGGGGTGGGGCAGGGCTGGGGGGAGAAGTCATTTCATTTCAAGTTAAGTTTGTTATGTTTTTGTTTTAGTAGTTTTGGATTTCCCAACAAAATGTGTATATTAGAAAATGATTTAATTAGGCAATTTTATCTCCCAACCGTTAGTCTGAAGAGGTAGAGACATCCTTTGAAGCTTTGGAATAAAAATTGGGTAGAATAGTGGATGTATCTTACACATACTCAGCACTCAGATATTTGCCATTTTTGCATGTTTACATTTTGAGTGATATTTTAAAATTTGTTTTAATAATGTCTCATTTTATAATTAAAGCTTATACCATCGCCGAAAGCACGGAATCCACTAGTTACTGTGTCTGATTTGCAGCGTGTTACCCTGAAACCTAACTCCAAAGTGTTATCAACTCGAGTTACAAATGTCTTAATGTAAGGAACTGCACAGTACTATGCTCTACTACTTCTTAAAAGAATGATATTGTCGTACAAGGGCCTAAAAAATGGGAAAACAAGATTTTTGTGTGTATTTCTAATGTTAAAAGTTATATATGCTCATTATAGAAAAATTGAAATCTACAGAAAAGTTTAAAAAAGAAAACAAAAATTATCTAAATAGTCCTATCATTGGAGATAGCCACTGTTAACATACTGCGGTTTATCATTCTAGTCTTTTTCTGGGCTTATGCTTTATTGCCCCATTTAAAGATGCTGTTTATTATAAGATATGCCATTGATTTAATGACAGATTTTGGGATAAAAAGATATACTATCAAGAATTTTAGGCTGGGTGTGGTGGGTTATGTCTGTAATCCCACCACTTTGGGAAGCCGAAGTGGGAGGATTACTTGAGGCCAGGAGTTTAAGACCAGCCTGGGCAACATAGTGAGAGTCCCATCTCTAAAAAAATTAATTAAATTAAAAATTGGCCTGATGCAGTGGTGTGTGCCTGTGGTCCCAGCTACTTGGAAGGCTGAAGAAAGAGGATCACTTGAGCTCAGGAGATCAAGGCTGCAGTGAGAAGTGATTGTGCCACTGTACCCCAGCCTGGGCAACAGAGAGAGACTCCATCTCAAAAAAAAAGAAAATGATAACCTAAATGTCTCAAGACAGGATTTTATCTGTGAAATTTACATGCAATGAACTGCATATTTTGAAGATGTCAAAATGAAACTTTAAGTTAATTTTCAAAAAGATGGGAAGAGTTCATGGTATATTGAATGGACAAAACTGTATCTACAATATGATTATACACAGACAGATACACACATATACCATATTTACTTGATTCCAAGATATACTAGTTTTCATATTATATAATTTCTGAAAGCAACCTGTTTTATTTTTTATTTTTTGTATTGTTTTATTTTTTGAGATGGAGTCTCCCTCTGTCGCCCAGGCTGGAGTGCAGTGATGCGATATCGGCTCACAGCAACCTCCACCTCCTGGGTTCCGGTGATTCTCCTGCTTCAGCCTCCTGAGTAGCAGGGATTACAGGCGTGTGCCACAATGCCTGGCTAATTTTTATATGTTTTAATAGGGATAGGGTTTCACCATGTTGGTCAGGGTGGTCTCAAACTCCTGACCTCAAGTGACCCACCCCCCCCTCAGCCTCCCAAAGTGCTGGCATTACAGGGGTGAGTCACTGTGCCTGGCTTAGGTTATGACATTTAATTTCTGTAAGTCTTCATTAGACATCCGTGCCTATCAACTCTGTACATGGCTGAGTTTTTCCCTAGGATGGATTTTTATACATGTAACTCCTGGGTCAAGAAGTATTATGTATTGGAATGGCTATATCACCTTATGTTCCCATCGGCATCTACTGCTATTTTTTTTTTTTTTTTTTTTTTTTTTTTTGAGGAGTCTTGCTCTGTCACCCAGGCTAGAGTAGTGGCACAATCTCGGCTCACTGCAACCTCTGCCTCCCAGGTTCAAGCAATTCTCTGCCTCAGCCTCCCGAGTAGCTGGGATGACAGGTGCCCGCCACCATGCCCAGCTAATTTTCATATTTTTAGTAGAGATGGGGTTTCATCATCTTGGCCAGGCTGGTCATGAACTCCTGACCTCATGATCCACCTGCCTCGGCCTCCTAAAGTGCTGGGATTACAGGCGTGAGCTACCACACCCAGCCTCTACTACAATTTTTTAATGTAACACATAGAACTACTTTCTCGGATGTTGCCTATAGAAATGATTGCTTTCCTTTGGGAAAAAATAATAAAATCTGGCAAGTTCTAATTTTTATATCTTTGTTTTATCAGTACTCCTGGAAAAAGTCAGATGGATCTGCGGAAACTGCTTAGAAAAGTCGATGTAGAGAGGTAATACACTCTCATATCTTTATGCCTTCTAAGTCCATTTTAAAAGTTGGCATAAAACACAGCTATTTTTATTTTCAAAACCTTTGTAGGAGCCCAGGTGGAACCCCTCTTACCAACAAAGAAAATATGGAAACAGGAACAGGACTGACTCCAGTGATGACTCAGGCCTTAAGGAGAAAGTTTCAGGTAACCCTTTAGGAAAAGAATATTGGTTCCTTTGCTTGAAAATAAATTGGCCTGGTGTGGTGGCTCATGACTGTAATCCTAACACTTTGGGAGGCTGAGGTGGGGGGATTGCTTGAGCCTAGCAGTTCAAGATGGGCAACATGGTGAAACTCTGTCTCTACAAAAAATACAAAAAATTAGCCAGGCCTGGTGGTGCATGCCTGTAGTTCCACCTACTTGGGAGGCTGATGTGGGAGGATCACTTGAGCCCAGGAAGTCAAGGCTGCAGTGAGCTGTGATTGCACCACTGCACTCCAGCCTGGGTGACAAAGAAAGACTGTGTCTCAAATAAATAATCATAATCATGATTTATGATCATAATTTAAAGCAGCTTTCTTAGTAATAATAATTTTTACATGGTACTGTATTTTGCAAAGTACTTTCATATTTAGGCTTCATAAAATTCTATAAAATATAGGTAGGATTGGCCAGGCACAGTGAGTGGCACATGCCTGTAATCTCAGCACTTTGGGAGGCCGAGGTGGGCAGATTACATGAGACCAGAAGTTCGAGACCTGCCTGGTCAACATGACGAAACCCTGCCTCCACCAAAAAAATACAAAAATGGCCGGGCACGGTGGCTCACGCCTGTAATCCCAGGACTTTGGAAGGCCAAGGGTGATATAGCAAGACTCTGCCTTGACAAATAAATAAATAAATTGGGACTTTTTGTTTAATATATACAACTAACTCCTTTTTGTTTTTTTAGAATTTACAGACGAGGTCTCACTATATCTCCCAGGCTGGTCTCAAACTCCTGGGCTCATGTGATCCCCTTGTCTCAGCCTCCTAAAATGCTGGGATTATAAGCGTGAGCCACCGTGCTCGGCCTACAACTGTCTTTTTTTTTTTTGATTTAGTTTTTATTTCAATAGGTTTTTGGGGAACAGAAAGTGTTTGATTATACTAATTAGTTCTTTAGTGGTGATTTCTGAGATTTTGGCGCACCCATCACCCAGGCAGTGTACACTGTTGCCAATGTATAGTCTTTAATCCCTCACCCCACCCCACCCTTTCCCCCAAGTCCCCAAAGTCCACTGTATCATTCTTATGCCTTTGCATCTTCATAGCTTAGCTCCCGGACTTATTTTTTTAATTTAAATATTTCTTTGGGAAGTAGGAAGTCCACAACTATAATACAGTGGTTTCACAATATAATCACTGTTCTTCCATCCTTAATGTGTGGTTTTTATCCTCTTAATACAAAATGGCTACATTTCCTGAAGCCTCATGTTCACATTCTAGGTAAGAGAAGGAGACAGGCAAATGTTAGGTAAGCTATGCCTCATTTCTTCAAAGATGCCCTATCCAGGAACTTCTGATTGCATCAGGGAAACTGGGAAAAGTGGTTTTTGGAATCTGAATGTAGTGTTGCCCTGCAAAAATTCTGGGTTCTGTTGAGAAAGGAGGAGAGTTGTATTTATCACAGGAATATAACTGATATTATATTTGGGACTTTTTTTTTTTTTATATAGCTGGCTCACCCTAGAAGCCCAACTCCAACTCTGCCACTTTCTACAAGCAGCTTTGATGAACAAAACTGATGCCAACTCTGCCTGACTCCATGTGATGATCCATAAAAAATGCAGATAAAAACACCCAGCCAGGCACAGTGGCTCACAACTGTAATCCCAGCACTTTGGGAGGCTGAGGTGGGTGGATCACCTGAGGTTAGGAGTTCGAGACCAGCCTGGCCAACATGGTGGAATCCCATCTCTACTAAAAATACAAAAATTAGCTGGGCATGGTGGTGGGTGCATATAATCTCAGCTATCGGGAGGCTGAGGCAGGAGAATCGCTTGAACCCAGGAGGCAGAGGTTGCAGTGAGCCAAGATAGCGTCATTGCATCCCAACCTGGGCAACAAGAGCGAAACTCCATCAAGGAAAAAAAAAAACCCAAATCCTTTTTTTTAATGTAGTAGGGTATATATATAGATATACTAATATAATTCCATTTGGAGAATTAGAGTATGTATGGAGCGCACATATACTGTGATATAAAGTGGATACAGATATTTGGATATTTTCTAGTTTGCATGATCATCAAGAGAACCAGATGGGAAAATGCAGTCTCCAAAGTGATGTTTATCCTGGAATTACCCAATTTAGGTTGGAGAGGTTGTTCAAATTTAACTAGATAACTCAGTTTATACTGTATAGGTGCAGTTATGACAGTAATAAAATAGCCTCTTGGCTCATACCTGTAATCCCAGCACTTTGGGAGGCTAAGGTGGGAGGATTGCTTGAGCCCAGGAATTCAAGACTAGCCTGGGCAACATAGGGAGACCCCGTCCCTATTAAAAATACAAAATCAGCCAGCTATGGTGACACCTGCCTATAGTCCCAGCTACTTAGGAGGCTGAGATGGGAGGATCACTTGAAGCTGTAGTGCACTATAATTATGCCTGTGAATAGCCACTCTACTCCAGCCTGGACAACATAGCAAGACTCCATCTCTAAAAATTAAAAAAAAATTAAATTAGAATATCATTTCTTGCATCTTAGGTAGGTACTTATATCTGGCTCACAGAAGTCTGAGGTATTCCTATTTTTATATCTGCTTTCCACATTTATACAGCTACATAAAAATGTTATGACGACTTCAACATGAACCTTATATTTTCGACAATGCCTTACCAAGGATTCTCAAGTCCATAGCAGGTCACTGTGAGACCTAGTTCCCTGTTGTCACTGACCTATATATTCAAAGACAGTAATACAGCCTGGGAAACATAGCGAGACCCCATCTGTATCAAAAATTTAAAATTAACCAGGCATGGTGACGCATACCTGTAGTCTGAGTGTCCTAGTTACTTGGGAAGCTGAGGTGGGAGGATCACTTGAGCCCAAGAGTTCGAAGCTATGGTGAGCTATGATTGTTCCACTATACTCCAGAATGGGCAACAGAGCAAGAACCCATCTCTAAAACTAAAAGGCAACTCCCCAGAAAGACTGGATTTCTACAGATAAATATTGCATTAAGATGCCAAATAGAGTGTTGTAAAGTCACCAGACTAGAAAGCAAACCTGGGGGCAATGTTTACCACCTAAGAGGCAGTCCTGTTTTTGAGACCCACATCTTTATAGATATATATGTTTTGTTTGTTTGTTTTGTTTTGTTTTGAGATGGAGTCTCACTCTGTCACCCAGGCTGGAGTGCAGTGGCGCACTCTTGGCTCACTGCAACCTCCACCTCCTGGGTTCAAGCAATTCTTCTGCTTCAGCCTCCCGAGTAGCTGGGATTACAGGTGCACACTGCCATGCCTGACTAATTTTTGTATTTCTAGTAGAGACGGGGTTTCATTATGTTGACCAGGCTGGTCTCGAACTCCTCACCTCAGGTGATCCACCCACCTCAGCCTCCCAAAGTGCTGAGATTACAGGCATGAGCCACCACACCTGGCCAAAGATCCACATCTATATTTATAACACATTTATGGATGAAAATTAAACAGGTGGCCGGGTACGGTGGCTCATGCCCGTAATCCCAGCACTTTGGGAGGCCGAGGCAAGTGGGGAGGTCAGGACTTCAAAACCAGTCTGGGTAACATGGTGAAACCCCATCTCCACTAAAAAATACAAAATTAGCCAGGTGTGATGTCATGCGCCTGTAGTCCCAGTTACTTGGGAGGCTGAGGCCGGAGAATCGCTTGAACCTGGGAGGCAGAGGTTGCAGTGAGCTGAGATCACACCACCGCCACTCCAGCGTGGGTGACAGCAAGAGACTCTGTCTCGAAAAAAAAAAAAATTAAATAGGTAGTGAAGAGATATATCAGCTTCTAGTAAAAGTTAAAAAAACAAAAACAAAAAAAACCTGCTAGCTACATTTACATTATGTAAAATTAAAGGAAATAATCACTGAGAATAAAGCAGTTGAGTATTTATAACAATAATATTTTAGGGGGCACTTACAATGTTTATAATATTGTAAACCACTGTGTACTCTATTCATTTAATGCTAAATGACTTGACCATTCTTGTGGGATAAGAGATCATAAGAAAAATGCTAGGGCCGGGCATCATGGTTCACGCCTGTAATCCTAGGACTTTAGGAGGCCAAGGCAGGTGGATGCCTTGAGCTCAGGAGTTTGAGACCAGCCTGGGCAACATAATGAAAACTCCGTCTCTTCCAAAAATCAAAAAATTAGCCAGGTGTGATGTTGCGCGCCTGTAGTCCCAGCTACTTGTGGGGCTGAGGTGGGAGGATGGTTTAGACCCGGGAGGTAGAGGTTATAGTGAGCTGAGATCATGCCACTGTATTCCAGCCTGGGCAACAGAGCCAGACCGTCTCAAAAAAAAAGGCCAGTTACAGTGGCTCATGTCTGTAATCCCAGCACTTTAGGAGGCTGAGGTGGGCAAATCACTTGAGGTCAGGCATTTGAGACCAGCCTGGCCAACATGGTGAAACCCCATCTCTACCAAAAATAAAAATAAATATTATCCAGGCATGGTGGCATGTGCCTATAGTCCCAGCTACTCAGGAAGCTAAAGCACGAGAATTACATGAACCCTGGAGGTGAAGGTTGCAGTAAGCCGAGATCACATCACTGCATTCCAGTCTGGACAAGAGTGAGACCCTGTGTCAAAAAAAAAAAAAGAAGAAAAGAAAGAAAAAAAATGCTTTATGGCCCAGTGCAGTGGCTCACACCTATAATCCTAGCACTTCGGGAGGCTGAGGTGGGAGGATCACTTGAGGCCAAGAGTTCAAAACAAGCCTGGGCAACATTGCAAGACTCCATCTCTACAAAAAAAAACAAAAAATTAGCCGGGCGTGGTGACATGTGCCTGTAGTCCCAGCTACTCAGGAGACTGAAGTGGGAGAATCACTTGAGCCCGGGAGGTTGAGGCTGCAGTGAGCCGTGTTTATACCACTACACTCCAGCCTGCTGGGTAACAGAGCAAGACTCCATCTCAAAAAGAAAAGAAAAAATGCTTTGCTACTTAATGAGGCCAGGCAAAAAAAAAAAAAAGTCCTATGGAAATCATATAGCTAAACATTTGCAAAGCTGCTACTGCCATTGTACAGTGTTAAAATGTGTTCCACCTTATATCTTTTACTGATTTTTATGACAGATTTTATATTATAACCATTTGAGAACTCTGTAAGTGCTATGGCTTCCTTAAACTACTATTTATCATATGCTCCTGGTGCTTACTTTGAGACTGAATGGCAACCAGAGAATGTAAACAACCAAGGTGCATCTGGTAAAATGTTTTTAAATAAAGATTAATAAAAGTTTTGGTTTTTCTCTTTCTAACCTTTTTTTTTTAAACTAGAAATATAATACCTATAGAAAAGTGTATGTTGGCCGGGTGCAGTGGCTCACGCCTTTATAATCCCAGCACTTGGAGAGGCGGAGGCAGGTGGATCACCTGAGGTCAGGAGTTCAAGACCAGTCTGGCCAACATAGTGAAAACCTGTCTCTACTAAAAATACAAAAATTAGCCGGGCGTAGTGGCAGGCGCCTGTAATCCCAGCTACTGGGAAGGCTGAGCCAGGAAAATTTCTTGAACCTGGGAGGCAGAGGTTGCAGTGAGCTGAGATCACCCCATTGCACTCCAGCTTGGGCAACAAGAGCAAAACTGTCTCAAAAAGTATATGTTAAGTATAGAAAAAATATATCAAATTTAAAAATTATAGGCTGGGGGTCAGGCACAGTGGCTCACACCTGTAATCCCCAGCACTTTGGGAGGCCAAGGCGGGTGGATCACTTGAGGTCACAAGTTCGAGACCAGCCTGGCCAACATGGTGAAACCCCCCTCTCCACCAAAAAAATATATAAAAATTATCTGGGCGTGGTTGCATGTGCCTATAGTTCCAGCTTCTCAGGAGGCTGAGGCACGACAATCACTTGAACCATGGAGGTGGGAGTTGCAGTGAGCCAAGATCACACCACTGCACTACAGTCTGGGCAACAGAGTGAGACTCAAAAAAAAGAAAAGAAAGAAAAATGCTTTATGGCCCAGTGCAGTGGCTCACACCTATAATCCTAGCACTTTGGGAGTCTGAGGCAGGAGGACCACTTGAGGTCAAGAGTTCAAAACAAGCCTGGGCAACGTTGCAAGACCCTGTCTCAACAAAAAACAAAAAATTAGCCAGGCATGGTGGTGTGTGCCTGTAGTCCCAGCTACTTGGGAGACTGAGGTGGGGAATCACTTAAGTCCAGGAGGTTGAGGCTGCAGTAAGCCGTGTTCATACCACCTGCACTCCAGCCTGCTGGGTGACAGAGCAAGACTCTGTCTTAAAAAAAAAAAAAAAAAAGAAAAGAAAAGAAAGAAAAATCCTTT